CACCCCCTCGCCGAGCTCCGTCCCGACTCCCGTCCCCGCCCACCACGTCGCCAGCGTAGCTGCCGCGACTCACCCCCGGCCGGCCGAGCCCCGCCTTCCGCTGCAGCTCGGAGTGACGCTCCAGGGCGCTCGCGAAGCCGCCTGGGCGCGTTCTAGGCTCCGCGGACTCCGGACTCTCGCTCCCGGAGCCACTCTCAGTGCCCGCGCCTCGACGAGGCCGAGCGAAGAGGAACGGGCGCAGGAAATGACTCTCGGCAGCCGCGGCACGCGTCCGACACAGCGCCGCCATGACGGCTCCAGACCTCTGACATTTAACCTCTCCGCAAGCGCGAGGGTCACGGGCGGGGCAGCGAAGGCTCCGCCCCCTCGACGCAAAGCACTGAGGCCGGCGGGCGTGGTCTGGCCGGCGCATGCGCGCGGGAGTGCCAGGGCCTTAGGGCTGCCAGGGCTTTAGGCCTGCCTTGGTGAGTTGAGCAGGTGGGGTGCGGTACCCTGCTGACAGCGAGCGCTCAGTTTTGCTTGGAAAGCATTGTTCACCCTGGGAATTTCGCCCTCCCAGGCATCCCTTGGGCCTTGTCCTGCTGTAAATTCTAGTAATGCGGCAGTTGCTGCCCCCGCCGCCTGCGCGTGTTCCCCGGGTGGCCGCAAAGCTCGTTCCCCCACCGCTCTTTTCTTAGATAAGAGGTTCTCCTTGATTGCCTTATATGGAGTTGGAACCCCAAATACACACTGTCCCGCTCCCCCAGTTTTCTCCACCATTTAGCGCGTCTTCATATGCCATATTGTTTCCTTAGTAACCTTTAGCTCCCCCCATTTTTCAACAGGAATTTTGCTGTTGGGTCCCTGACACTGCACACAGTAGGTCTCAAACATTTGTGTCCCGGATCCCAGTTCGTCTTTCTTTGCTTCTTCTGCAGTCAGGCCACCCACGTTACAAAAACAGTAATCTCTTCTAGACGTTTTTGTCACCTCTAGGTATGCATTTTTTAAAAAAAATATACCCTCCAGTCTCTTCTAGAGAACTTAAGAAATTTTGGAATATGCCCGAACATGCACCAGCAGAGCCCTCCACCCTCACTCATGATTGTCTCTCCCCACCCCCAATGTCTTCTGAGAATGTGCCCACACTCTTCATAACTGAGCCTAACACCGAGGCGGGGGGAGGGGGAGGTGGCGTGCACCCTTTCCAACTCATTTGCAGGTACTTCGACGGAAGGAATTTTTTGTTAGGACCACAGCCCCTAATAATTAATGTCTTTGACTGGGTTTTGAATCTTGATGATGTTCTCATTAATTGGATAGTCGGACAAGATACAGAACCCTAGGAATGCACTAACAGTGGAATGGTGCATAATTGTGTGAATCACATACATAGAGAGACGTTACTATTAGCCAGCTGTAAGGTTATCCTTTCAAATTCAGAAAGGGGCTTACGATAACTTCTACTCCAGGTGAATTCTCCCCTCTTGGCACTAAACCATTTATTTCCCCTAGCCATTAATGAAGTCTTGCCCAAAACATTTTTGCATTACTCTGTATGGCTTTTGCTACTTTGACTTCCCCACAGGGAACAGTGTGGTAAATTATAATGAGCGTTGGCCAGTCGCATTAAGAACTTTTTAGTTCTAGTCCTGACTCTTCATCCTGACCTCAGGCAAGCCAATTTAATTTTAATTGGGTTTCCTCACTTGTAAACCAAGTTATTAGACCTTGTGTTAAATTTAAGGAAGTGCTGTGTAAACTTTATCAGTATCTCCAGGACAAATGGGGTTACTAATATCCCAGCTCTTAAATGCAGTAGATGTATTATGCTCATGACCTACCTCAGCCAGATGATAAATTCCTTCAGGATTGTGACAACAGGAATTCTGGGGCAAATCCCCAAGTTTTTAAATGTATGACTTTATAGCACCCAACTTCAAGTTATGCTTACTTAGTTCTCTGCCTTTGGGAGAGCATCAGAAGCATCAAGTGAGAGGAAGCATGAAGGACTGGGCATATCAACAAGATGTCTGCACATTTTGTACTTGTCTAAACAGCACCAACTTCGCATCAGCTCTAATGGCAGTGTTTTAACACCTTCATGGCACCTTAAGGATTCTGACGCTGCTCTGCTCCTTGAACCACCCCTTCCTCCTTCTTTATTATACAGCTCTTTTTTCCTCCCCGATAGCTTTGCAAATTGTTAGTGTGCTTTGTAAAAACATTAGTAATGGTGGATGGCAAGGAAAGTGAAGAGAAAATAGTTCCAAGTCCTGGCTCCATGTCTCCTGGCTGTGATCAGATCTATAAAATAGTGGCACTGCCACATCCTTGAGTAAAATATTAAAGGAAATGAATGTTCAATGTCCAGCACTTATAGGAAGCTCAATAAATAGCGGCTATTAGTGGCTAGATGGAGGTGACCAGGACCTGATTAGAAATTCATGCCTCTTAAGCATGCATGAAAAACTGGGGGGAAGGACAGGGCTTGCCATACACTGGGGAAACATTAGTATCACTCGAAAGACAGTCTTTTCAGCCATAGAGATGAATAAGATTATGTAGGTGATGAGTGGGAACAGGCTATAACATTTAAAGAGTTGGAAGAATGCAATACCAGAAAAATAGTCAAACTGGAAAGAAAATAAGAGCAGAGAATCCTAGAAACCAACGCGGGAACTTGAAAGCACATTGACATACAGTTACAGAGGAAGATATTACCCACTTAAAAATATTCCAACAACAGAACCTCGGTTTTTACCGTGTGCTGGGGAAACCACTACATTAAAATAATCACACTACCAGCCAACCTCCCTAAGTAACCTCAAAATTACATTTGAGAGTTGGCAAGAATTTCAGTCACCAAATAGCATTTATTTATGAAATCCTGGCAAGCGATGGACACTTGCAGACCCTGCCCTCTGGTGGCTTACAAACTAAGAGTGAAGGTATTTTGGCTTAATTTGATTTCGATTTAGAACAATGAGATAATTGTGAAATCGAAGGTTTGCAGGTGTACGTAAACGTGATAATGCTTTAGATTAAGTCAACGTGGTCTCTAATTAACCCAATTATAATGTGACTAATTAATGGCCAAATGCCTCCTTCCTAAGGGCAAAAATCTGATTTTTCATGGGAGTCTCAAGAGCTATAAAGCAACACACGTGATCCCGACACGGCCTCACGCAGCATCTTTGGCACGTGTACAACCAGTAGTCACTCTCAAGTGCCTCTGGGTCGTCATCGTGAGGCCTTCTCAGTTTTGTTGGATACACTGATCCCGTGCAGCTGCCTATGGTTTTCTCCCTATCCAAGAAATGAGGGCTTTGGAGAGAAGTTGTCACGCCTTTCCTCAACAGACAGGCAACACAGACAAAAGGACCCATACCCAAATTACAGCATTTTTATTGTTTTCAAATCCTATACAAAAGAAAAATAGACAGTGTGCCTTTCTTGATTAACAGATCCAGAAATAGTGATTCCGAATTAAACGTGCTTTTTCTCTACTTCAGTAGTTTCTTTGCGTTACTAAACTGATAAGCCAGTAAGTTCTACTGTCCTCCAGTCATTACTTTGTCCTCATGAGCGTAAGAATTCTCGCTTTATTTCCCACAAACTCCGTAAACGTAAACAAAGGCCATTTCTTTGAAGAAGGGGACAATTTCAGGGGTGGTTTTCTTCTCTGACACTTCTTGAACCCTTGAATACCTGAGTTTGCTCTCAGTTGCTGTTATCTTAGTGTCAAACAGAAAACACAGTAGAGTGTAACTGAGTCTATAACATTGAATCTTCCGCAAAGACCATTCTGAATGATATTTCTAAATCACGTTTGTTTTTCTAAATGCCTCCTCCCTCTACTTTTGATTAGTACTTTAAGAAGCAGAGTACGCAATAGCTTAAATCATTTTTCGATAAAGTGCAATGATTCTCTATTTCTACCTTCACAGCCATCACCAATACACACATACACCCATCCCATTTTCCACCCCGATTTCTATCATTTCTCCCCATAAACTAAAGGGATTTGAGGATATTTCACTCAACTAAAAAAACTGCCATTTTGCCTTCTCGAAAAGATAGTAACAGGGCAGGACGCTCCAGAAACAATATGATGAGACGATACTGTGGTAAAAAATTGAAAGACTAGGTAATCGGTAGAAAAATATAACTTAACAGTTATGCTGAGTAACCACAATATTTGTGTTTTAAAAAAATTTTTCTACAGATCCACTCTGGGACAGTGCTTCAACGACCTTTGCCTTAAATCCTCTAAGAGGAATAATTTATAATATGTTAGTCTGATGCCATGAAGTAGTGATTTAAAGCAGATGGTAAAAAAAAAAAAAAATTGCCTTTTTTCAAAGCATAGACACCAGTTGATTATTTACTACAACAAGCTGTCTCCAGATCATAATGAATATCGAGACCTATGCTACAGACATACAGAATCTATTAAGCTTTTCACATGTAATAGAGCAGAGTTTCAAACGCATCTGAAGTTCTAACAAAAGCTCTAATAATCAAGAATGGCAGCATGTTATTTTGTAACAATCAACACTTGTGGCTTCCCAAATTTGGTTTTCATAAGATAATGTATCCTGAAGTAAATCTAGTCATGCTTTTTAAAAATGCTTTAGGTCAGTCCAAGCTTGGCAATTAACATTTGGCATAAACAATAATAAAACAATCACAACTTGATAAATAACAAATACAACAATGTAGGCCATAATCATACACAGCATAAGGAAAAGGTGTTGGTGATGAGTGAGTAGACCTTAGAATTAACAGAGTACCGTGGCCTCTGTGCAGATGCTTGCAGAGGCTTTGGTGCATTCAGCCCTGACAGTTTTTGAAGTAGGGGGCAATGTCTACAGAATCATTTAATAATTTCTAAAACACTGAAAACATATCAGTAGAAAATGATGAGTTGATTCTTATTAATGCAGTAAATCTTCTGGAGTTACCGCCAATCCCTTAGTATAAAATTTTTTCAAGTTATATTAGTCATATAACTTTGTGTGCTTATCTTAAATGGCGCTAAATGAATTAAATGAAGACAGCAAACCCCTAGTGTGATTGATTTTAGCATTTTTATAGCCACGTAGATCTAAAAAACTTTCGGGCTTTTGAATTGAACACTTGATAAGAGTGTTCATATATCAACCTACTGATAATACATTATGCTTGATTTAGAATGTTACTTTGCAATTGATTCTGAAACTCAAATTTAATCTGGCGAAAAATAAGCTGATAGAAGTGGCATAAGAACCAATACACAGAAACGATTACTGTCAGCAATGGTGACAAACAAGGATGTAAGGTTTCCACTCTGAAGTCACCTAGGAGTTTGAATTACCATACATATTGTCATTTCCGAAACTGTAGTGGATGGGATGTAGAGCCGATTTATTGAGTCTGGTGTCTTCAGACACCCAAGATTAGACACCTTATACCAAAACAATTGTCTTTCAAAAATAGTTTTTATAGGTGGTAGTTCTTCCCTTGGTGGTAAAGAAAATTATGCCAAAACTTATAAAAATCAGGATTCGGAAAAATTTAAAGAACACTTTTAGTGAAGAATCAAATGCACAAAGGGTTGAAGAAGAAAAAAAGAAAATCATATAGAAGACAAAGATCAAACTGGCATAAAACAGGAAATCCATTATGACAACCTACAGCTTCTCAGATCATTTTTTTTTTTTT